TTTCCGAACCTGCTAAATTAGGTGCTTCTGCCGTTAGGATGTTCACCTCCTGCATTTTAATTGCATGTTAAATAGAGAAGAGGCTGCAGAGGAGAAACACGCTCCTTTAACAGCTCTCCGCCATCAAATATCTCCCTGCTCGGAAGGGTTTTAAAAATTCCTTGCACCAAAAAGCTGAAAGAAGTGCTGGAATTTGATGTGGTTTCTTGCCCTTCTGTAATCTTCCTTGACGGTTTTATCTCTCATTTTTTCAGTCATTTAATACACAGTTTTGGTACAAGCGGGGACACGCATCAGGATTATATAACCCTGGGGACAGCGGGTGGGAGACTCGCTCCGTTTCTGTGCAGGGATAAAAATCATCAGTTCTGGAATGTTTTTTTGTGTAACATGTTTGCATAAGCACCCTTGGGTACCCGCAGATATTTTTATTGATGTGAGAAGGTGCTTCCTCATTACCATCAGCTGGAAGTGAAGAAAGAGGCCATCAGTGCATGCTCAGGATAAAATGGTTGCTAGTTGCTGAAAATGAGCTTAGGTGAGAAGCACTGTTTGAGGGGAAATGAGTCCATTTTGGAAGAAGATGTAATTTTTCTTTCCCCCTCCAATCTTGGAAGCAGGAGCAGAGTAGAAAAACCTCTACAAATTCTTGCTGTAAATTCTTGCTTCTTTTACTGCATGTTTTCAGGTTGTTCATTGCTGTAAAAGCACACAAAAATCTCGCAGTATTTCAGTTTTGTAGCCCGATTAGAAGAAGCAGACAAATATGATATAAGGGGGAGATTTCTGCAAGAAATTCCTCCTGACTTTTACTTAACTCTGCATTTGTCGATGCCTCGGAACGTTCCAGCTGACGGGCAGCTCTGGTCTGGATTTTTTTTTTTTTTTTTTTTCTTTAATCACTTTACAGAGAAGTCACATACTCCCCCTCTCCTCAGAGCGTGACTATGGCTGTCTAATTAAAAGATATCCTCCTCCTTTTAGGGAAACTTTCGGTTTCCAGACAAATTCTGTTTCGTTTCCAGCCGGTGTTACTGTCTTTGCCTGTCTTCTCCCACTGGGTCTTTAATAGCTCCTGAAATTCCCCAGCTTGTAATCACTGCTGCAGCCAGATGGGGACTAGGTGGAACTCCCATTGCATCTGTGCCTGCTTTTATTAATCTGCCAGAAGTACCTCGCTTAGGTGGATTTTTAAATATATGTATACTATATATATAATAT